TTAGATTTATAATCTGAAAAAAATCTGAACTGAACTGAAAATTTTTGGATTGAATTTTTTGCAATCTGAAACTGAACCGAAGTTAATCTGAACTGAAAATTTTCAGATTAATCTGAACTGTTCGGAGCTTTAAGCTAAAGTGATAAAGTCAAATGCTAAAGACAGGAGAATTATTGGATGAATTACATATTCGCTTAGATTGAATTATAGTATCTTTTTTGAATCATATGGGTGGTTTAAACAGTCATATGGAGTAATCATCTGGCTGAAAATGCTAAGATAAATGCGTAGAAGATATCTGGTAAAATTTTTGCCAAAAAATAGGACTGTGCAATATAAGATTCGTATACATTATTTTTTTTTATTCTGATAGATGATTCTGGAATAGACTAAATTTTTCTAGAATAATCTCATTTTTGAAATGTTAAAGCGAGGCCTTAGAAAAGGAAGGTAAGTATTGTATTCTTCTTGTATTGCAAGTTTAAGACTGGAGGAAGATTCATCCAATTAAATATTACCTTGTATTATAAAAGAAAAATTCTTTTCGGGATAGTTTCTCAACATAGAATGATAAATGAATTTTTCTCAATCATCACAGGGTAGTGAAATATGTGAGGCAGGAGCGGAAAAATCTATTCTGAATTCTACATATAGTTCGTAGCTAGAGGTTATATTATCTATTTTATTAGATATTTAAAATCAAAGCGGTGATATTACCTTTCTTGATCCTTAAGTGATAATTCGCTTGACATATATAGTGGAAATATCTTGTTTCTGAATCTGGAGAAAATTCATCCTCAGAAAAGATTTTAGGTGTTAATGTTTCAGAACTAGATCCCTGTTTATTATGCAACTAAGAGCTTTTATTATACGAAATAAAAAAGTCATTCACCATACTCACCTGATATATATATCACTACAATTGTATCGAAAGTTCTATGATAATTTTTTTTCTGCTATTTCTGATCCTGATTTTTCATGATGCTGGCGATTTCAAGTCTGTGAGTATATCTTCACTAAAGCTGAAGCAACAGGATTCCAAGATCTCAAACAGAAAGGGGTAATTTTTAGTTGAACCTTTTATTGTTTAAATTAAACAAAAAGCTTAAGCTAATCATCTTTACATCTATCACATCCATTATCAATCCCATCAACCAAATAATCAAGCATTTCCTACAAAAATAAAACAAGGTATATCTTACTATTGCTCGATTTAATTTTGAAAAATGACATTGATGCTTCATATATAATACTTACTATTTTTTCTGGTATTTTATATGTACTAATCTTGATTCTTGATATTCGCTGAGAAATGTGGTTCTGAATCTGATTTAACTAGAAGCATTTCACTCTCAGATTTGATTTGCGAGAAAGGCTTAAATAATTTTTATTTTAATAGGATCATTCAGATCATGATTCGAATATTTGCAGCAAAATCTAGATGTAGTGGTAGGGTCAATAAAGGACAGGAGTATCATTCAAATGAAGTAAAATTATTTCTGAATTCCAGTCTTGCATCATTTTTCATCCTTAAAGTATAGCCATATCGCACAAAAATAAAAAATATAATTAGTTTCCAGCCACTAGCATAGAAATGTCATCATGTATCTGCTTTTCTTCTCTAATTTTTTATTTTAATATTTCGCAAATAAAAGAATTTTAATACTGCATATGATCTCTTAACCAGTAATGACTTATCCTTATATACTACATTCTGCTGATCGTTCGAGAGCAATGTGCTAATGCAGGTTATTTTTTGAAAATTAGGATCGAAAATTATTAGATATTATGACTTTCATATTTGTAACGATCGTAACATTAATTGCAGAGAATTGTTTTTTATAAAAATACTGAATATAATGGTAGTATTTTACCTAAGTTTTCTATTTGATCATATCTTTAAACAGTCTTAAGAATCTGACTATTAACATCTTAAAAAATCTCAAAGATGAATTAGTTAAAGATAAGGAAGTTTCAGAGCTGAGACCATATTCAGAGTGTAATAATGAGATCCTAATGCTTCCTATTAAGGCATTTACGGTACTTAGCTGTGACCATATTTTTCATAGGGAATGTATTGAGAAAAGATTTTACTTACTCAACAAAATAACTGCCCTATCGATAATTGTACTGCGATTATTAAATCTGTGATCACTGAATGAAGATTTTCTATGTCATCTTAATCAAGTACTTCATCAATAGTTAAGAGAATGAACAACTAACTTCAGATGAATTTGCCAGTAATCTAAGAAGAGAAGAGACCAGTTCAAGAAATGGAAGTAGATAAATAAGTCAATGAAGAAGAATTAGAAATCCAACCTGATAATCAAAACTTTACACTCTCTGGCAGTAAAAAACAGATTAGCGAAGATGCTGAGTCACAAGCCCTGCTTTATGTTCATCCATCAAAAAACTGCCTAAGAAGAAGGCTAAGAAATTGATTAGAAGAGAAGATTCGCCTATCTTAAAAAAGTTAATCAAGGAATTATTCACTCCTATTACACAGCAAATTTCTTTTGATAGTACTATTTCTTTGCAGATGTTTTCAAAATAGATGTTAACTTAGTTAATTTTCGTGAATTAAATGACAGGATTATCAAAGTCGAAAGCGATAATCAAAAAACTGTTTTACAACTGATCTATAACTATTACTATTTTGGGAAAGGGTATAGGTTATGGTTTGATCATTATAAAAAAATATATAGTGATGATATGTCTAATTCTCTAGTTAATGATAAAATTCATGAGTGCTTTCCAAACCAGGATAAAACTTCAGAGGCTAATCTTAGAAAAAGAAAGGAAAAGGCAATAAAGATCTTTAAACTTTTTGATGGGTTGGAAGGGTAGATAAGATAAATTGCATTAAGTCTTTTTCAGCATTGTGACAGGTAAAATTTTAAATAGATTTAATTGATAGAATAGGAAGTCAGTTTTATTGCTATGTAGATCTTCTATAAAGATCATTTTGTCCATTTTATTGCTATCGATCAATTATGTAAATCATTAGATGTCAATTTTATTGCCTTTAATAATCACGTAGATCATAGATGTCCATTTAGTTGCCTGCAGATCTGGCAATT